TTTTCAAAATAAAACATCACTTAGATAAATTATATATATATATATATATATATATATATATATATATATATATATATATATATATATATATATATATACCAAATGACCCATGGACCGGTACCGGTCCATGGCCCGGTGGATGGGGACTGCTGCTATAAAGGGTTATTTGAGGCAAATAAAGGGTTATTTGATTGTAATTTGATGTAATTCTATTATCAATATGTTCTGTGTCCGACTTCAGACCAAATTAACCGAATACCTGAAACACGTTACTGTATTTGAAGGCAGACCGACACATCCAGACTGAAAACCAGAGCAGACCTAAAGGCGGGATCCCCCGATTGTTCTTAAGACTTCTTTATGCTCAACATCTCAGCACAGCCAAAGCAGCCAAATAACCTCACTTCGGTTTCCACATCTCTCAACAACGTGTGTGTGGACAAAATTTAAACACCGGGCACTTAGGAAAAATTGTAACTATGTTGACAGCTCTGTGCAGAAAAACATGGTGGCCGAGCGACAGCCAGTACAGCGAGGGTTGACTAATATAACCTTAGAGGGTTGACTAATATAACCTTAGACAGCTTATGATTTAGCCCTTAAAGATCACTGCCATCAACAGACAGAAAATCTTAAACATTAGTGAGCATTAAGAACTCAGCTGTGCAAAAGTCTTTTTTTAGACTCCATCTTGAAAGGGCAAACATTTACAATCTAACAGGAATTTTCAACACTGGTGAAGACTTTGAAATTCCTTTGTTTTTCAATAATAATATATGGATCTTTTCTGGTTTTTATTGGTTTCCCTTTCCTAATCCAGGGTTTGAAAGTAAATCAAAAAGCATTTCATCTACAGATTCCTATAAAAAAAATAGAGATAATACAGTTTTTTAGCAAAAATGTGTTGCCTTCATGTATAAATCGCACCTTTTAACAGTCAAAACGGTGGTTTTTATTCACCCTTTAGCAAGACACCAGTTCGTCTGCAGCGCAAAACAATTAAACTAAGAATTACATATTTCGTTTTGACTGTAAATATGTTTTCAATCCTGTTACTTCCCGACCAACAGGTCGCTCCAACAGTGGCCCTTTTGTTTGGTTAAATACAGGAAAAGACATTATCAGCAGAGGCGAACAGACCCCACAAATTAATGACATTAGTGTCATCCATATCTGGTTTCCCTGGACAACAGGGTTAACAATTACTCTCTTCCCAAGAGAGCTGTGAAGGGGGGAGTGAATGAGGGAGGACAACGTCTTCCTTTATCCCTGCACTCTCCTCTGCTCTGAAGCCAGTCCATCATTGTAGCTTTTATTTCTCTTGAGCAGTCATGGCTGTAACTAACACCAGCAGGCTCAGAGGGAGGTGTTGGGTCCACGGAGGAAAGACAAACAAACCAGGATGATGACAGTGGAGGTAAAATAAACTACGTTTCATCGGCGCTCTGGGTCCAACTGGCTGAGAGGGCCGTGCTGCGGGACGATAAGTCAGAGAGTAAAGCCAGCACTTGTCGACCACATCCTGCCCGTGCTGTGTTATGGGGGATTAAAGTCATTTACGGTCTTAGCTTGTCAGCAACCCATGTTGGGTGCTAAAGAACGCATTAATCGAGGTGCACTGATGGGCTGTTTGCTTCAGTTTTAGTTCCTTTAAACAACATTAAACTTTAGTATTTTAAAAACCTATTTAGAAGCTTATAAACAACCGGTTCAGGGTTAAACCCATTTAACCACTAAATAATTTCCTTATTTATAGAAATGTATAAAAACAGTATCTTGTGACAGAGAATAAAAACAATGAAATATTTCCCTCCAATCTGCACGGCAAGCTGACGATTGTTTAAAAGTCTTTTAATGGCTCAAAAATCTGCATTTTTATTTAATTTTTTTTAATACAGAGGTGGCGTCATTAGCATATTACCTTTCCAAGATACTAAAACTAATAGAGTAATTTTCTCAATATCAGACAAAAAAACAAAACAAAACCCATCGGATCCACTGTAAAATCCAACGCAAAAACTATTACACCCATCTGTCTCTGATCACTAATCTACACTAAACTTCTCACAGTCTTAGCTGGCCCTTTATTAAACCTCCAAGAAATGTAATTGAATCTAAAAAAATCATTATTTAACACCTTGTTTTACTGGCTGAACATTAACTCAGCAGTACAGAGCAAATGTAAAAGCCCATCAAAAAGTGTCGGTTGGTTCGTCTTCTGCAGGGCTCACAGGGAGAGTGGAGGCTGAAATCTTCTGTTGCATAATTTTCATAAATGAGCCATCAACGGGCTGCTTAAATGAAGCCTTCATTCAGCGTAGATTATCTTCACATCAGTGACGCACTAGGTTTGCCAGGAGGAAAGAAAGATGGAATGGAAACAGAAGGAAGGCTAGGAGGACGTGCTGCACTGGTGGAGTAAAAATGAACAGGACTAACTCCCAAAACTGAGCTTATTCAAATTAAACAATGATGCCTTACCAGTGTTTTGAACCTGAAGAGTTTTAATAAACAGCAGCTAACGAGATCGGATGATGAGGATGTGAAGGTTCAACTTAAATAAACAGCGATTTCAGGAAGATGTACTTACTTTGTTGCCTGTCCCGGCACAACAGATGCCCAGAGCCATGGCAGCGCCACAGCGCACGTGAGGATTGTAGCTCTCTGACAGAAGAGACACCACACTGGGGCACTGCTCTGGAGTCCTGATGAGAAACAGACAGGGGGAGCAATAATTAGAAGGGGAAGAATTATAAGGAAACTAGTTCAATGATGTAAATCCAAATACATGTAAACAAGCTTCTGTAATAATATGCTACCTGCTGAATGTTACTAAGAACTGATGAAAGGTTCAAAACAAACGAAAACTGAAAGAGTACCTCACAAAGATCTGCAATGCTAACAGAAGTTTTTATTTTATTTAGTGAAGCGTGTTTAGAGGTCAACTAAACAGTTCAGGAATAGAGGGTCTATAAAGGATCTGTAACAGTTTGTGGGACAAACTGTTGGAGAGGAGAACTAATTTCCCTGCTTGTGTCTATTAGAAACAGTCATCTAAATACACGACGAAGAACCTGGGCCGTAATAGACGGTCAATAAAACAGGGAGGCTTTCCTTGTTGACATTTGGATTTAATTAAGGTTTCAGCCGTGTCCAGGAAGTCAAAAGAGATACAGAAGTTCTTTTCTCCCAGCCTCCATTAGACAGTTTAATACCTCTTTAAGGATTGAATGTTTATTATTTTTATTAATTTATTTTTTAAATCTAATTTCATTTTTTTATCCTATTTTATATGTTTTTATCTTTGCTATCAGGCAGGTAAATTTCCTTTATCAGGGATTAATAAGGTATCTATCTACAGGGTTCCTACAGCATAAGGCAAGTTAATTTCAATACTTTTTAATGCCACTTGAAATAAAAATTTAAGACCAAATTCACAAGAAACACAGTAAAACCTGCTTGCGACAACTTAACCCAAAGGTTTATTTTAACATAAACCACTGCACTAATGTTTCAGATTTTGAAAAGCTTCCCATACAGGAAGAAAGCTAAAAACACACAAATGACAGATATATTTTAACAATTATTTAACTGAATTCACAACCTTTGTTTTAGCAGGGAACAAAACTAATCAGTTTTAAAGCCACAACATAACCAGTGCTAAGTCTTTTTTTCAGCTATTTTTCTTTGTATCGTTTTCTTAGTATGTTTGATTTGGTGATAAGTGGAGGCGTTGCAGAGACAAGGGTGGAACTAAACTGAGAAATACCGGCTGTTTCTCTGTAACTCCATTTTGACGCTTTGTGTTTCGCGCTTCGGATGTGCGACTCCACTGCCTTAATTCCCATCGTTCTGAGCTTGAATCGCTTCTTGCACAAAATCCACTGAGCCTCATGTATGTTCCCTGGTTTTAGCCATGGAGAAAACTCTTGGCTGGATAATCAATTTTTGTTAAATTTACACTTGCTCATATTTTCCAGACAAAAAGTAAATGGCGCATCTCCCAAATGTCCCGGCCGCAACAACGTTTTTATTGGTTCTGCTATCAAGAGGGAACCAATAATGGCGAGTCGTTATTTTTTTTTAAATACATTTTTTGAATAAATTGTAATTTAGATTACAAAAATAAATTGTAATAAAAATAATCCTATTTATGATGTTTTAAAAATTAAGAGCTACGAAAGACTGATTTAAGACATTTTAATACCAATTAAGGCTTTAGTTTTATTTTGAAGAATTCAATGCCTTTTAAGACTTTTTAAGGACCCGCGGGAACCCTGTATCCAACTACGTACATATCTAAAAGAAGTGAAAAAAAATAATTATTAAAAAAAGGATGGATATAGTATGGGTAGTGTGCCAATAAAACAACAACTAACAAACTAACAATTTTACAATTTGCTCCGGTATGGCTTGTAATAATAATAATAGTAATGATCATTTACAAAAAAAGCACAAAAATATTTTAACAATTATCTGACTATTGGTTAATAGATTTTAAAAGGCATCTTAATTTAATTTATTGATTTAGACTAATATTTGTTTTCTTGAATCCCTTTGTAAAGTGTTATATGCTTAAAAGGTGGAAACAAAATATATTAAGATTTATAAGAATGTTCTTAATTTTTAACAAGTTGCCTTTTTTTCCCCTTTGAAATATCACATCTTTAGAAATCCATATTCTGTGTCCCTCATGTATGACTGGATCTGACTCTCAGGGCTTGAAGACTTAAGTTCACTGGAAAGAATGAAAGAAAGAAAAAAAGGCTTTACAGTAAAACCACAACAGAAAAAGGTTCCTCCATGCAGACCACCGCTCCCCCACCCCTGGTCACTGCTCGTTTCAAATGGGGGAGAGGAGATAGAGTGGCAAATATAAACAGTGGGACGGCTGCGTTGAGGGAAATTACCTCCCTGAACCACTGGCATGTGGCCAGTGAGAAGACATTCATCTGTTTCGTATAGAGTCTGGCTCGCGAGATGAAGGGGAGGGTGGGGAGGCAGGGGTGAAACGGCGAATGAGACAGGAGAGAGTGTGAGCCGATTACACACTGCGAACCAGAACCAGTGAGAGAGGGAGGCAGTGGGGCCGTGACATCTGAAAGTTTTAAACCTGTGATCGCTTTAGATGATGCAGAGCGAGCCTGGAGTTTCTTCCAACGTGTGGAAGGAAAGCCAAGTCCGCATCACGGATCGCTACAGTCTGGGAAGGATTTAACTACTGCGGCGGGCCAGTCGGGTTCAATCTTATGTGGAAAACGGAGTCAAAGGGAGGCGATAAAAGCTGTGGAGGAATATACAGACTGAAATGCATTTGGCAACAAGTTCCACTATTTTCCAGAGCAGGTTGGGAGGATATTTAAAGGACTGAAATGCAAAAGCTCATCAATTGCCACTCCGGGAAGAAGGTATGAAAGCTTAAAGAGCATTATATTGAGCAATATCTCCAAGATGAAAAAAAGTTCATTTTTTTGAACAAGCATCAACTGGCTTTTTTAGAACCTGAATATATTGTAAAAGATGCTGACAGATTAGATGTAATGCCAACTCAGCAATATCTTTCTGCACAGAAACAACCTAAAAGCCTCAGTTTCATAAAAACATTAGGATAGATCAGAGGACAAAAGATAAAACTTTTGTCTTTTTTTCTAAGTGGCCGACAGGAGAATTTGCTGCGTGGGAAAGTGAGGGCCTCTGTAAACGTCTTGCTGTGAAAGATCTGCTCGTGATGGGATTATTCCAGCACCGGAGTTTGCCGCAGCTGCCTTGCTAACTTCACACTTCAAATCTTTCAGACGTTTTATTGACTTTCCATTCTGCTCAAAGGACGATGCGTCTTGTGCACCGACCCTGAGCAGCCCCAGCAGACCCTGCACCTTTGCTTGTGGGACCCAGTGACCATGCTGACCGAGTGTCTGAAAGCAGAGAGATCAGAGCCGCCGCCCACGCTCAGGCCCGCCGTGGTATCAGCAGCAACATGTCTCAGTCGGTCAACGCCAGCTCACCTCCCGGCCAGGCGCCTGAGACTGAGCTGAGATGGGCCGCCCTGCTCATCGTAATGGTCATCATCCCCACCATCGGAGGAAACATACTGGTCATTCTTGCTGTGTCGTTGGAAAGAAAGCTGCAGAACGCCACCAACTACTTTTTGATGTCGCTTGCCGTCGCTGACCTGCTGGTGGGACTTCTAGTGATGCCCATTGCACTCATCACTGTTCTTTACAGTGAGTATAACAAGAGGATCTATTATTTTATATTGTTAGAAATGTTTTATAAGGAAAAAAAAAACTTTTTCCAATCCAAGGGTGATCAAATACAACCACATTATATAGACTGAGACGTTATCTAGCAAATTATTGTTGAAAATCCTATGAAGAAAAAAATACGAAAGTAAAACAATATCTTCCATTAAAATATACAGTCTTCCAAGGCAACACCTCAATTCAGGGCGAAAGCACAGCGGAGAGGATGTTCTTTATTAATTCAATAGGAGGCTAATGAGCCAGATACTAATTATGCATCTCACACAGGCACATAAGTGGAAGACAATGAAACAAGGTTTTCTCCATCAAAAAACTGGATGCGTCTGCCTCCGTACAGACCTGGCCTTCATTAGATTGTCTCCATCATAAACTTCCTTAAATTAAAGTCATGTACATTTTTGTTAAAAATTAATCTCAACTGCATTTAGAAGAAGAAGAAAAAAGGTTTGAGATTTGATGTAATTAAGGAAACGCATAAAAACTGGGGATACGAAAAAACTTCAGCACACAAAAAACCTTTTTTAAATAAAGTAAAGTGATAAGTGAAGTTGAAAGGACAACTAACTTTATTTTACCTTTAGCATCGCAGTTAAAGCCCTTTATAGACCTGAACAGCTGTCTTTAGCCTCCATTCAGAGCAGATGCAGCTCTGAGTGCTGAAGTGTGCAGGAGGAGGTCAAGGAGACATAAACAGGGACATATACTGTGTACATGACGATGAAGTGAGGCATAGCAGAGCCGTCTGAACAATGTGAAGCTGCTAGAAGGAGGATCAGCAACTCGTACCAAAGCAGGGGGGAGGTTAGACCCTCAGCTCAGGACGCTGTGCCATCAGAAGCAGGGATGAGCTGCTGTTAGTAAAAAAAATAACATCTTTTACAAATATAAATACCTCAGAAGAATTACTGCCGATCCAAGCCTGTTTTCGGTGGGTGGAACACGCCGGGATGGGATGCCTTTAGAATATTTAAACAATGCTGTAAGCAACGCCGGCCAAGAGGTAAAAATAAACAGGTGGACAGATACTTTGTGTGTAAGCGCGATATAAATCCAGACATGTATTCCAGAAATGTTCTTCACATTTGTGCTGACCATAAACCGTTCCAAACTCTTTCTAAAAGCAGATCCAAACGGGAGAGTCGTCGTGGTTACCAGTGGGAACCAAAATACCAAAACAATTTATTTACAGAGCCGTTCGGTTATATTTAACCGACTTAAATAAACACAATCCGACTTTATTAAACTATACAGGCGTATTTTGGACGTGTCTAAAATATGTAATCCTTATAATAAGCTTCACTACAGTAAATGGAGGAAAGTAGCAAATTTTTGCCATCTCCATTTTAACTTCCTTTGAAAAAACACATTTTTCCCCAAGATGAAAGAGCCGAGTGTGAAACATTTAAAGAGAAGGTTTTGATTTAATTCTGGTTAAAAACATGGCCTCTCTGGCAATTTGGTGCTAACAACTTTATGTCTGAGGAGGAATTTTCTTGAGGTATAGCGTCAATGCATCATGAGACTTAATAGTTTTCTATTGGCATAAAAACACTCTGATTCGCAACAAGAACTACAAATCACACAGCGAGCGAATGTTACCAGTCTATCTCTAAGAAAAACATTTAAAAAACTTAAAGATCACAAGGAAGGAGAGCTAGTAAGATTAAAATGAACAGAGTTGAAGATTAAATACTTTCTGACTAGAACTAAGCAGCCGCCTTCAAAAACAAAAGGGTCAAATCCTGCATTATGCCAGACTTTAATGATTTGGACATTCCTAATTTAGTTTAACAAAATGAAAAGCTCCCATCTAGCTTGCTGATTTAACAGCTCATTCTGTTGATTCTCATGACAAATTTAATCAACATTTCACAAACCAGCAGACAGAGTCCACTGCAGCAGAGCAAGAGATCAGCAATCGACAATGAAATCCTTTCAAACTGACCAACACTGAAAAGCTGAACACCCCACCACCACCACCGCTTGATATAAGTAAAGTAGACATGAGCATAAAAAGAAAAGAATAAGAAATATTTCCACAAACAGTCTTTTGTAAAGTTAATGGACTGCGAGACAAAAGCCAGAACAAATTTCTTGCCAGTTTTACGCCTGGAAGTCAAAATAAACACTACTGTTGAGCAGAGTCTAAGCCACAATCTACATGAAAAACTTTTAGCTCCATAAACAGTCAGTGAGCCCTCAGTTTCCAGTAAAGGCATTCCTCAGAAGCATAAACAAACATCAATTTTTTTACTGGGGTGATACTATAATTTCTTCAGCAGTATCGAATCTTTCATAATAAGTGAAAAGTTTTTCTGGGGAGGGAAAAAAAAAAAAACGAGAAAACCCAACAAGCTCATTAATATTGTTGCCAAATTTAAAGGCACAATAAAACCAGTGATGTTTACTGTACAAGCAAATGGATCATGTCAAATTAGCCTTCATATCATCTTCCTTTCAGACTCTAGATGGCCCCTTCCAGATTTCCTCTGCCCCATCTGGCTCTTCCTCGACGTGCTCTTCTCTACAGCGTCCATCATGCACCTATGTGCCATCTCACTGGATCGCTACATTGCCATCAAGAGGCCTATCCAACACAGCCAATACAAATCCAGAGCCAAAGCGCTGGCCAAGATCGCACTGGTTTGGCTCATCTCCATTGGTAAGCATTTTAATCACCTAGCAAGTATGAAAAACATTTATACTTAAGATTTATCTTAAAATTTCTCCTCTTTTTTTAAATTTTTGTCCATCTTTTAAATTATATATTTTTTGAACTACGTGAAAAAAAAGGGTTCACGCATCAACATTATGTTTTATAGACAGAAAAAGATAACCTGACTCCGCCAGATGGATTTGCTCCGCATATCCATCTGGAAACCTTCCGTTGAAGTAATTTTGGGAAGGGGCGAAAATACTGGTTAGCTGATTGGCCCATGTTGGTGATAGACGGGCCAAATAAACCAATGAGATCAACGAAGCATATGACGTACTAACAGAGCGATGACGAAAACACAACCACAAGCCAGGCTACTCTTGCCGAAACCAGTCGGGAAAAGAGCAAAAACATGTTGTCCTCTGAGAAAAGCTTCCAGAGCAGTGTTTTGCTCTTCTTTCAGTGAAGAAATACTCTGTAATTCCGATAAAACTTGCTCGATAGCCACGCTAACGCTAGTTTCATCGGCTGAAGCCGCCATGTTCTTTAGACTGAACTGTCGCGCTTCTCGTTGCGTCACACCTCAACCCGCCTCAAAGCCAACGCTGATTGGACGTTCGTTTGGTGAACGGCTCCAAATTTTCTTTAACGGAGAGTCTCCACACTGATCTGCGAGTGAAACCTTGCAAGATCAGGATGGTCTCACGAGGCTAAGAAAAAGAAGCTTTCCAAGCTAATCTGGCTCTGAGTTAAAAATAAATGCCTCATCAACTTATCAATCATTTTATGGGTAAAGTTTTCACTAACGACACCCCGGTCTGATAGCTGCCTAACTGAATGAATCAAGATCACATGAGAAGGAAACTCTTTTCTGTTAGGATCTAGCTCAGACTTTACAGCCCGATTCACTTTTAGATTTCTTCTTTTTGTGCTTTTTTGCTGCACTTAAATGTTGAGCTCAAACTTTGTATCCCAATTAGAGATTTACCCTGTTTGATGGAGTTTTACTTCACAATGTGGCTTTTAAAACTCAATTTAAGAGCTAGGTAGCTGTTTTTAAGCTCATTTGCTATGGTAAAATGGATCAATAACCTATGAAATTACCCTTTAAGTACATTATAACTTCAAACTTCAACACTAGAATCTGTGTTCACAATGGTAGAAGCAGAGCAAACACCGTTTTAGTACAGCTTTCTTGTATTAACTGTAATTTCCATTTCTCAGGTATTGCAATCCCGATCCCAATAAAGGGGCTGAGGAACCTTCACAACAACATCACCTTCAACAGTAACCACACATGCCTGCTGAAACCGGACACCTTCTCAGATTTCATCATCTTCGGCTCCCTGACAGCATTCTTCATCCCTTTGACCATCATGATGATCATCTACCTTCTCACTGTGCAAGTGTTGCGCAAAAAGGTTTACTTGCTCCGTTCGAAGGTAACCCGGGGCTTCAGCTCCTCGCCTATCGCCACGGTTTTCCAAAGCAACCCAGCCCTCACTTCTCCTCAAGCTGAGCAAATGAACATGCTGGATGTCAGGCTTTCTCGGCTGCAGGAGAAAACAACCCCAGGAATGCTGAACGCTCAGATGGAGAATGAAATATCTTTCCGTAGAATGTCAACAATGGGCAAGAAGTCAATGCAGACTCTAAGCAATGAGCAGCGAGCCTCAAAGGTGTTGGGTATTGTCTTCCTCCTTTTTGTCGTCATGTGGTGCCCTTTCTTCATAACAAACATCACCTCTGCGCTGTGCTCCAGCTGTGTTGAGAAAGTCATTTCCCGTCTGATGGAGATCTTTGTATGGGTTGGTTACGTGTCATCAGGAATAAATCCCCTTGTCTACACTCTTTTCAATAAAACATTCAGGGAGGCCTTTACGCGTTACATCACCTGCAACTACAAAGGCTGCGCCAGAGACAGACAGGGACGCCCGCTTGGCTCGACCACTGCGGACTGGACCCTTACAAGCATTTCATTTAAATCTTCTATGGCAGAAAACTCCAAACTGTTCATGAAGCGGGGAATGAAGAACGGCATTGGCAGAGTGGGCTACCAAAGCCCACTGAGGTGCCATCAAGCTGTCCAGTCAGCAGGGGGGGTTCTGTTAAACACAATTCTTTTGGCTGAAAATGAAGACTTTAAGCAGGAAGAACATGTAAGTTGTGTATAAATAGAAAGAAGAACTAAGTTAAACGTGATCACTTTTAATGTGCAGATTAAATCTCAAAGACAAAGGCTTGCCCAAAATTATGAAGTCAGAGTGACATAATAATGCCTCAGAGGTGTAAAAAATCCACAGTGCCTTGCTCAGGTGTTACTACCCCTTTTAACCTGCAGAAATGTTCACGTTACAACCTAGAATAATGCATTTTAATTTGAGTTTAGGGCAGATTCACGACCGTTACCTTTGTTATGCTTAAAATGAACAAAGGTAGTTTCCCGGTTGGGTTTGACCTTATGAGCATCTAAAACAAGACCACAAAATTGAACCAAGACCCACTTTTTAAGGTGGTCTTTGTCCGCTACCGAACAGACATTGGTGCAGTTCAATCCTGGTTCATATCTGATCTACACACATCGTAGTTCACCTCCATTTCCAGGTCTGTGCTCTGTCTGCCCTTCTCTCTGTCTTCTCTGTCTAACGGGAGCAAACCCTACTATAAGAAAAGGATAAAGTCCACTTTTAGTCTGGACAATAAAATTGGAAGAAAGGACCTCCTGGATTGGATGCAACCAAATAAAGAAAAAGGATATTTTTCAAATAAAAATATCTGCTCTGGGACTGGGCCATTCTCACACATATGCTTCATAGGTTTCCTGTTTACACAGTATTTTGCATGTAGGCGTAGAAATACGTTTTACTGGTCATTAGCAGAGCACCTTCTCCACATGGTTGTGTCGTCACCTGCATAATGTGCAGCAAACCTTTGACGAAACATCCGCGTTTTATGTTCTTTGCTCTAAAAGTTGTTCCATCAGTTGTTCTCCAACTTGTGGTAGATAGTGACCATTTGGAGACTTCTCTCATCAGCACTTTCCTTACCTATACTGTCATTTAGGGTAGAAAGCCTTGTTTTGTTCCTCTGGCCATTTTCCTTAGGATGGATTTTTTTCACAGTTGTTATGGCTATCATTTCCTTAAACTTTACAATAATCCAATACTTACTTTTAAATTATATTAAGATCAAGAACACAGTGCGAGGTTGAAACCTGACAAAAAAAAAAAAAAAAAAGCCATTCTACCTTGTTTATACCCATTTTTCCTTAAATCAGTAAATTAACGCTGGATTTCGGATTGTAGCTTGTCGATATAAGTGAGGAGTTTCAGTTTCGAGACAGCATTTCAGAGAAGAGCTAAAATAAAACATAAACCAGGTTCCCTGATTGAGCCGAATGTGTTGAACAGAAACCCGATCAGACAAATTCAGGCCAAACAATTCGACAACTTGGAAAATCTGAGTGCTGTATCCGACAACATATTCCATTGCTTTCGAAATATGTTGTGAAACTTCTTTGAAGATCACATGCATAGTTTTAAACTATGACTTTTTTTTTAACAGGGTAAATGTCCTACACTCTTAAGGAGGTATTTTTTTAAAACTTTGCTGAATGAGTTGTTTTGTATGAGTAATGCAGCCTGCTGGTTTAACAATATCAGATATTCAGAATATCAGTATGTACATACGGATGAACAAAGAGTACAAATGGAAACCTGAATGTTCTCAATAAAATACTTTGTTCTGACCAGAGATAAATGCAATTCTAAGCTTTGTTTTTTTTTGTTTTTTCCAAGGATAAAATCTTTTTAAAATCTGAAGGGGAAAAAAAAATTACACAACTGCAACTTTCCATGTTCATTTAGATAAATGCATCTTTCAGGAACAAAAACAACCCAACCATGACACCTCTAGCTTTGACCAAGTTCAGCCTAATTAAGAGAATTTGATTAAAGGATAGAGGAATACCAGAACTAGGCAGCGCTAAAGAAGCTTTCCAATCAAAGAGTGAGAAGGGTTTATTTTTGCTTAGGCCGCCGACTCCTTACGAGAGCTCTATTTGTTTATAATGAAAAGAGAAACACTGAAGACTCAGACTTGGAGTAGACCTGATTGCTTGGTAGCGCTCATGCAACAATGAGTCATTGGGGTTGGAAAAGTGTGGACAAAGTGTAATCTTATGGTTCATGAGTCTTTTTAAACAAAGGAGATTTATGCAGGGTTTTTCTAGCAGCACACTGATCATATACCAGTTACAGCCTTTTTTGCACAGCTTTCTATTCTTGTTAAAAAAAGGGTTTCTGTAAATAAAGTAACTCACAGAAGTATTCACATTTTTATACTTTGATACATATGATTTTTTTTACAAGAAAAACCCCAAACTTAATTGTGATTTTATGTAATAAACCAGTTAAACTTTGTGTAGGATTGTAAATAAACATGAGAACATTGATTTTGCACACGAGTAGTAATGCCCATATAAGAGCTCTTTGTCTTAAGTAGTACATCTCTCCATGTTTTAACTCCTATATTCTAAATATGCATCGTTTATCAAGTAGCTCAAGTCCATGTTAACAGCAAAAAGCAATCATTATACCTCTGTCCACATTTTATCTTTTAGATTTGTCTGGGCTTCAACTAGGCCACTTTAACCCAACAATATATTTTAATGTGAATCATTCCTTTCTTGCTCTGACAGGATGCTAAGGAGGAGGAAGCTCCATCCCAGTGTCATTGGATTAGCTTATCGTATTTAGCTCAGTATCTGTACTTCTGAACAGCTTCACTGTCCATACTGATGAGGAGTCTTGCCAGAGTATGATACGTCCACCACAATGTTTCAAAGAGATTCTCTGCTGTGCAGGTTTTCTGCCACACACAGATTTCTGATTATAAATCAGAAATGTAAATTCATGTAACGCAACAAACTTTTAAAAGAGTCTTCTTTTAGCTTTTTTTCAACATTAACATTTTTCTATAAAGGCCAAATCTTCTAAATTTGTCCCGAGGCTGGATCCTTTGATTTGCAACTCCTCCAGAGTTTATCATGACTCATGAATGCTTCTTTGAGAGATTCTCTGTTTACTAAGCCAGCCAGTCAGTTTAGTTGAACAACAGGGCTGGATAATTCATTAGATTTGCAATAAAATCAGCTTAATGGTCAGATTACATTTAAGAGTAAGAGTTGACTCTCATCTCAGCACTTTAGTTGGCAGTAATATGCATAAAGGGGGTTTCCTGCCAAACAATAAGGTAGAGATATTGCTCCTAGATCCATGCCTGTGGATTGAAGTAGGCACTTTTCTGCACAACAATAAAAGTAAAGTCCTTTTACAATAAACTCTGGAAAAGCAAACTTTCATTGAGCTGAAAACAATGAAAGCTGCTTGCTTTTGATTAGTGCAAAGATTTTTTTTTTTTAGCAATTTTGACTTGCACCCTCTACTTTTAATCCATCCCTTTAGAAACAGCGAGCTTCCACACTAAAAGCTCCCACGGATCATCGTGGAGTTAAAGGTCAGGGTCAGAGACCAACAGGGACTGAGGTTTGAACCCCGATCCGGTGGCCTCTCCAGAACATCATGCTCTCTGACCCTAACCCACCAGTCACTCTAATATTCTCCAACACACCTCTGAAAGCCCATTTAAAACAGCTGGACTCATACTGAGAATGAATTAGACTCAGGTTGGGTTACAAAATAACAGAACTGTTAAGTCAAAGTCAAAAATGTGAATACTTTTGAAAGAAGCTGTATCTGTGCAGCATAAAAATAAACACCCTCCACACACACACAAAAAAAATAATAATTTGTACAATTTCACCTTTACCACTTTATATATCTGCTATAAGTCTGTGTGGTATATTAAAAACAATAAACCCTCTTAATGCATACTGGAAAAACTTTTTAAAAAGTCACATCCTGTTAGTCCTAAACTTGTAACTTATTCCTGCTCTGGTACACTCTTTTCAAACACACATTTTACTAAAACAAACATCAATTTAGTCTCAGTTGTGCAAAGCAATCCATGAGTTGGATTAGAAAAGCCAAAAACCCAACGTACTGATTGGATCATACCTGAATAGGATGAAGCCAATGGACTCAACAGCAGCTCGTCGGACGTCATCGTTCACGTCGCTCACCTAATCAAAACAAACAAAGCAATTAGACGGAGGGAAATAACTGACCTCAGAACTTTGTTTCTATGATCTAGCGGTCAGTCAATTAAAAAGCAATTCCGCCTTCACTTCCCACTCTAAATTTTCTTGCAGATACCACCCCCTACAGGCCAAAAGGTTAATCAAACATCAGTGGTATATCACAGAAACATAGCTGCAGGGACAAACTTGATTTATCCTGCTTTTTATATGCATTTAAACTTTATTTTGTGGTTGAAACTGATTTGGATCAACAAGCCCAAAGCTTTGAAACCAACCAAAAAAAAAGAAAATCCCAAAAGACTGGTTGCACTAAAGTAGATATCAAAACATTCATTTAGATACAGGTCATAAGTCAAAAAGTCCTTTTAATCAGACCTGTCCACCTGCCAACATGAGTACTTTAGGGACCGGAAGATAAAACTCACAGCAACATGCAGCAGGCGTCGGATGGCCTTGTTGTTCCCAGAGCCGCAGTATGCCATTCCGACAGTGTACATCCCAGATCGCCTCAAGATGGGGTCCTATCATAAACAATGAGAGCAAGCAGAGAGTTGAGCTATGTTTGTTTAGGTTTGAGTCATTTCCCCACGACTAACTTTAACAGAAAGAATACTGGCATCGAGTACAGAGAAGCCTGATGTGACATTAAATAAACAGCCTGCTACAGAGTGCTCAATACATCAAACATATGTCCACTAAAACAGCTAATAAAGAACAATGGCTTTTACGTTGTTCCGAAACATCCCCCTCTTTTTGTTCTCTAAAGATAAATCAGCTGTTTCTTCTTGTGTAAAATACTGATCTATACATGGCTTTATTATGAAGACCAAACGTGTACATGCGTGGCTCAAGGCCAGACCTTGTCTCTGCAGAGGCTTTCAATGAGGGCGTCGGCCTCCTCCATGCGTCCATACATCACCATGGCGATCCCCACAGCGAGGCCACGTAGGATCTTCTCATGCTGAGTCTCCTGAGCGTAGCCAACCATGTCCTCGATGGCTTGGGCTGACTTAGAGCCCAGCATGACCAGACCTAGAGCCAAGCCTGCTGCTTCACCTGCAAGTTCAAGTTAAACTGTGAGTAGGATGTGACAGTATTAAATTATTACATTTTATTGGGTTCTTAAATAAAAAAACAACCATTTTCGTATGTCCAACTTTACAAGCTACAATCAGTTTTTTTTTTTGTAATCCTGGCTTTAGAAGAGGGTCACTCTATGGGCCACCATATTGACAAAGTCAAGTATTCATGGGAGAGTAGTCACTGGAAATTCCCCCAATAAAAACAAGCAGTAAAGCTGCAGTTTCTGTATT